TCAGCCTTCCGAGTAGCCGGAATTACAGGCATGCGCTACCACGCCCGGCTGATTTTTTGATTTATTGTAAAGATGAGGTCTTGCTGCCCAGGCGGGTCTCGAACCCGCAGGCTCAGGCAATCCACTCACCTCAGCCTCCCATTGGCATGGGATTACAGGCTGAGCCACGGAGCCCGGCTTCAGGCTGGTCTTGAACTCCGGGCCTCAAGTGATCTTCTTGCCTCAGCCTCCCAAAGTGCTGAGATTACAGGTATGAGCTACTACACCCAGCCCGAACAGGCTCTAGTTCAAGTGCTTTACAAAAATCAGTCTTCATATAATGCAGATGCTATTGCTGTCTCCATTTTACAGATGAGGAGACAGAAAGTAATTATTAGCCCAGGTCACATGCCTTAAGGGTGACAGAGCTGGGATCCCAACTCATATACCAGGCTCCAATGCCCTTTCCATAAAGTTAAACAAACAAGCATTGCGGAAAGGAACACAGAGCAATTAGGCTCCTCCCCTAGCCCCATGGGCCTGTCCCCTTCCCCAGGACAACTCCTGGCAGCAGGAGCTTGTGTATATTGGCAGAAATATTTTGGGAAGGCGCTTCCTTTAGATGTGACAGGCATTGCCTGCTGTTTTTCATGAGTCAAAAGAATAAGTGATTGAATTTCCCATTAAGCTGCTTTATGGATATCAGACTGCCAAGGAGCCAGGGTTCTCCTTCTGAGGAACGGGAATACTGATCTAGAAGATACATTCATATTTTCTCTTTTGGAAAGAGGCACATGGAAATCACTTGCTCTGATGTTTTTATTATCAACCACTGTCTTCTAAAAAAAAAGTGTCCACCTAATTCATATTTTGGTACATTCCTAAACTCATTTGGATCGGGTGCGGTGGCTCATGCCTATAATCCTAGCACTTTGGGAAGCAGAGGCAAGAGGGTTGCCTGAGTTCCACGGGTTCAAGACCAGCTTGGGCAACTTGGCGAGACTGTCTCTCTACAATAAGTAAAAAAAATTAACCAGGCATGGTAGCATGCGCTTGTAGTTCCAGCTACTTGGAAGACTGAGGCGAAAGGATTGCCTGAGCCCAGCAGGTTGAGCTTGTGGTAGCTGTGAGTGAGCCACTGCACTCTAGCCTGGGTGACAGAGTGAGACTCTGACTCAAAAATAAATAAGTAAAATAAACTCATTTGACAAAGGTTGATTGAGCATTGATTTTGAACTCACCATCCTGCTAGGCACTAAGGAGCTGAGATGCAGAAACAGGTTCTGCATCGAGAGATGTTCAGTGTGGTTGGGAGGCAGAAGGGTGGCCATTACAAGCCCTGGGATTAAGGGCTGGAGTGGAAGGATACCAGGGCTAGGGGCCTCTAGGAGAGGATTTCCAACCCAGGCTAGGGTCAGAGGAGGCTTCCTGGAGCAAGGGCCTTTAATCTGTATCTGATGGGCCCACCGAGAGTCATTTGGGCTGGGCATGGGGGCTGTAATTACACCTGTAATCCCATCACTTTTGGAGGTTTGTTGGAGTCCAGGAATTCAAGACCAGCCTGGGAAACATAGTGAGACCCCAACTCTTTTTTTTTTTTTTTTTTTTTGAGTTGGAGTCTCACTCTGTTGCCCAGGCTGGAGTAAAGTGGCAAACTCATGATCACCGCAGCCTCGACCTGCTGGGCTCAGAAGATCCTTCCTTCTCAGCCTTCCAAGTGGCTGGAACCACAGGCACATGCCACCATGCCTGGTTAATATTTTTGTTTTACTGTAGAGACAAGATCTAGCCAAGTTTCCCAGGCTGGTCTGGAACCTCTGGGCTCAGACAATTCTCTTTTTTTTTTTGAGTTGGAGTCTCACTCTGTCCCCCAGACTGGAGTGCAGTGGCCGCTCCCGGCCACCGCAACCTCGACCTGCTGGGCTCCAGCGATCCTTCCGCCT